TCTGATATACTATAATATCACATCATGAGTTGTTTTTTTTTTTTTTTGGTTTTTTTTTTAATCAGCTCATACTATATCATCCATATGCTGGTCTCATGTGTTTTTTTCCCCTTTTAATTCTCTCATTTCCCTTTTCTCATTTTCCTCCTTTTTGTGGTCACATTGTTTACATTATATATTAATGTCTCAGTACTGTGTTCCTGTAAAAGAAGCAAAATGTGCACAGGTTTTAGTTTGTGGATGTTTGGGATCAGGGCAGAAGTTTCAAAGGGTCAGGATGAGAAGGTCACAGAGGAATCACCGACCTTCCAGTGAGCTGCCTCAAGCATATTGAAGGGTCCAGCCTGTGCTGTGCAGGCTGCTCCTGGGATTTGTACACAGTTAAACTGCTTATTCACATTTCACAATATGATGTAACAAAGTAAATACTCTGACATTTTTACTGGAACCATATTTCAATATTTTCCAGCCGGCCATTTGTGCTGTTGCAGCTGTATGGTGAGCCAGAGCTGTGCAAGCTCAAAGTGATTTTTAACACATTGTGTTAAGGTTAAACAGTGAGTTTCAAGCGCATCTCTCTGGCTTCTAGTTAGAGATCAGATCCTGTGAGACACTCACAGAGGGAGTTTTTTTAGTTAACTGTTTCAGTTAATGCAGCTCCAATATGAATTACTTGTGACAGCCACTAAAAAACCCCCATTAACACAAACTTACAGCAAGCACATGATAATCCATTGTAGTCTGTAAAAACTGAGCCGGCCTTGTATCAGCACAACCACCGCTACCAATTTCACACTTAAATTGTTGAGTACTACACCATCTAGTGGTAAGTACTCTGTAATTTATGGTACAGGTACAGCCTGAGAGAATGCCTGAGTCTGTGAGCCTGAGCTCAGGCCTAATGCACTGACTGAACTTATTTACAAACAACTCTCCTCACACATTTGCTGATCCACCATGACAGAAGTGTAGCAAAGTTACACATGAAAACAAAGTAACTGAAACTTATTTTCCAAATTTACAAATCTGATCACACAAACAGTTAGTCGACTTAGTTTGACAGAGAGCTGTCAAGTTTGTTTCATCTGTTTTTTATCAGTTGTTGATGAATTTGTTGCTGCTCCATATCAGTGCAATTTATGAAATATAAGGTTAGCAGATTTTGACAATTAGATGGACTATTCTGCATTCAATGTTGTACACAATGAAAAAAAATCAAGCAATTCAAATGAGATGATTATTATTATAAACTGTTTTATTATTTAAGACATAGAAAACAAAAAGGTGTTCAAACTGTTGACAGTTGTCTTTTTTCACTTGACTAAATATGCTAAACATTTGCAAATGCTAACAAAGAATAAAAAAATCATTCCAGAAAAGAGCTGAGATGAAATAAAAGTCAAGTTAAACAAAATTCAGTATGGATATAACAGGTTTAGATGAAATTAGCATAAGACAGTCAAACAGATCTCAAATCATATATCTGTGAGAATAAACTTTAACTTAACATTGAATCTAAAACTAAATTACAAAAGACAATGTTTTTGTTGTGGTTTCAGATGCAATGTTTGAAATTAATGATCAAAGAGTGTTAACACTTGTCATTAAATACATTTAAAAACAGGACATGAAAAAGATTTAAATCACTGAAAGAATTTTTCTGAAAGATCTACAGATTAACACAGTGCAATGTAATGTACATATTTTAGAAGATGAGAAGAAAGATTTAACAAATATAATTCTGAGAATTTTACCTGAAAAATCAAGCATTAGAAACATAAAAAAAACGAAATAATGAAATTAATAATGAAATTTTCCTGGATCAAAATGGGAGTTTGGTAGTAATCTCTGCATTTCTTCGATGCAAGTTTTGTCTATATATATTTAGCACATTGACTTGGTTAACTTGTTTGACAGCAGTTTTTAGATTTAGTTTCCTTACATTTTTTGACTATTTGATAAACAAAAAATCTTTGTTATAAACAGGTAAATGATATCCCAATTAACAAAATTAGGTTAAAAATGTATTTATCTGGAAAACACTCTAAAAGCCTAGATGGACACAACATTGAGAATGTGACTGTTATCTTTCACTTTGTATTTTTTGTGAATTAACTTATAGTCACTCATAACATCTTCTTCATGTTAATAATTTATAGAATTTCCTTTTTCTCACTCAGACAAAATCAGACCGTCACAGCAGGATTCTCGAGTTATTGGGTGAAAACAAGTATCATCATTTTCAGCAGATTTGCAGTTTCTTTGGCTCATTTAAACATTTCCAGACTTCTAATGGCTTCTTCTTTAGATATATATTTCCACTGATCTACTCCACTGCCCTGGAACCTTTTCCCATAGTGATTTTCCAGTTTCATTTGAAATCGACAAACAAACCATTTCCAATATGCCAGTTTAGCCCCATCAGGGGTGATGCTCCAGGTATCATACGGTGGACCAGCAGTTTTGTACTGTTTGTAGGGAATGGCTTTCTCTGGGTCAGAGCTAAGGTAAAAACCTTCTTCACTTGTAACAAGTGTTGTGCAGAAAATGACCCTGAGCTCTCCAGTTTCTCTACAGGGATATCCTTTTATCCCATCAGGTCGATGAAAAGGAGTGCTGTGGTCATCAGGACTGTGATCTTTCATGGTGTTGGTACAAACAGCTAAACAGAATGGACACTTTTCCCAGCAACAGTTACAAAGCTGATCTATGAGGATTTCTTCAGGCTTCAGCCTGGATTCATTCAGCTTATACAGGGAGAGGCTGCTCATCTTCTCAGTGATGCATGTAAGTCCTTTCTGTATCTCTTCCTTGAGAAAGTGAAAATTGTTTATGTCGCTGAAGTTTTCAGAACAAATGTTGTCCAATGTCAGCTCATCCTTTAAGACATTAGAAAATTCTTTCAACCACATTTCTGTGTCTCCTCTCTGATTTTGGACTTTTTGTGTTGTAGTAAATAACGCTTGAGTCACACTTTTTTTGATGTCATCAACATTTTTCTTGAGTATATTCACAGCTTCATCTTTGTGATCTCTGAAGATGTGCTTCTCAACTTCTGCTTTGATGAAAGCTTCTGTTTGTTTCCTTGGATTTGTGATGTAGGTGATGAAATCATCAAAGTCTTCTTTCTCAGCGAGTGACTTCAACACATGTTTCTCCAAGTTCAGTCTGTTCCCATTGAATGCTGGGAAATTACACATCATCCTTCCAGCGAGATCAATGGCAGTCTTGTTACAGACAGCCTCAACAGTGGAAGCTTTCAGCTTCTCACAGATCAGTTCTCCAAACACAACAGCAGATGAGTTTCCTTTACAAAAACTTCTAAAGACTCTGTAATACTGTGTTTTCTTGGCATCTAAATAAGTGATTGCATCATTGATCACTTTGAATTTCTTATGGGACTCTAGGAGCCAACTTTTTGCCCTGTAGAACACATACAGTAAGAGATCAACTGTAAACTCCTTCTTCAAAGTGTATTTCTTCTCTGACAGAAATTTCTGCACTTCTTCTGTTACATGATTGGCCCCTTGAATCAAGTAAGTTGATGTGTAGCCTCTTGTGGCTACAGGTTTGCTTTGGATTGCATCAAGTGACTCTTTTTCAGCCTTGTCAACGAGTGATCTGATCTGTTGTTGTTCTTCATACGCAAAAACACCACTTGATTTGTATTTTTGGTAAGCATCAATCACTGGTCTCAGATGTGTTTGTCCACGTTTCATTATATAATCTGAATAATCACCAAGCTCCGATATTTTCTTGTATCTGCCACTTGTTTTACATTCATCTATGAGAGATAACTCAAAACCAAGTTCTTGAAGGATCATTAACTGATCTTCTCTCAAGTTGATGTCTTCGACAGGTTTTATATCTGCTGTTAGTTCAGTAACCCAGCCGCTCCAAACAGAGCTGAACTGTCTCTGAAGCTCTTCTTCATCTTTGGCCTTATCCTTCAGCTGCTGAGCGAGCTCTTTGCTCTTCTGTAGCAACTTGTTCTCAAACTCTGATTTCCTATCATGAGTAATTTTATGAGCTTTTCTGTGGTGGATAACTCCATCCAGTTTTACTTTCACTCTGTTCACCTGTTCTTTACAGAGCTCATTGATTTTATTTTCATGTTCTTGCCACTGAGCCATGATCACTTTCTCTTTGTGCTTCAAGTACATTTTCTTTTCTTTTTTGATTTTTTCATATATTTTGCTTGTTTCTTTAAAAAGATAAAACTCATCAACCTCATCAAGTTTTCCATTTTCAATTCTGTTGTGAAGTTGATTTTCAATGGTTAACATGTTGCTCCTCAGGGTCCAGGTACAGCTCCCATACTGGGCCATCAAATTTTCGTACACTGCAATTTCAAGTGTGCTTTTAAAACTGAAAACAAAACTTTCATTCAGCAGTGCAGTCCACAGGTCCTGAATCTTTGTTTTGAACTGTGAGAGAGTGATCCCAGCAGACTTTGAAGCTTTAGAGAGGATGGTGTTCTTCACTTCCTGGATGCTCTCACTGTAACCTGGATTTGGAGGAGCCATGGGTGGACTGCCCTCCCATAGCTGGGCACAGTATTTCACATCTTTTTGAACATCAAATTCAGTGACATCACTGAAGCACTCTTCATCACAAACTTCCTCTTCAGCTGCTAGTTTGGCCATCTGGTCCAGTTTTTCCTGCAGGCGTCTCTTTCCATCCATGTTTTTCTCTGCTGCTGCAACATCTGTGACATTCTGGTGAACAAACACACAACTGGGAGAAAGTTTAACTTTCTTCATCCTCATAAAATCCTGAACAACAATCTGCAGAATGTCTTGCATCTCAGATGGATTCTCTCCAAAGATGTTGATCAGTGTCAGGTTTCCCAGACCAACAACAAATGTTGCCAGTTCATTGTCATGATGAAGAGTGTTGTTACCTTCTAACTCAAGAGCACGCAGTCCTTCAGTGTCCACCACTAGAACATAGTCAAACTTCAAGTCTTTCTTCATCTCCTCTGATACTTTGAGCAGCTGCATGAAGGCACCTTTGGTGCACCTGCCAGCACTCACTGCAAACTGCAGCCCAAACATAGTGTTCAGCATTGTAGATTTTCCACTGCTTTGTAGGCCCAAAACTGACAACACAAAAACTCTCTGGTCCCCCAGTTTCTTGATGACTTCTTCTAAAAGACTGGAGATCCATGTTAAAGGCACATGACCTGCATCACCATCCATCAGCTCCATCGGGTGTCCTGATATCATCAGCTGTGCAGCCAGCTCAGGGTATTGAGACCAGTCAGTGTCTCTGTTTTCTCTTTGTGTTGTTTTATGGGCTTCATAGATCTGTCCCATTTCTCTGAAGATGTGCTCCAAACCAAAAGTTACAGACTGAAGTTTCTTTGATATGTATTCAAGTTCAGTTTGTTTTCTTAATAACAGATCTGATTTGTCCCATTTGTTCTTCAAAGTCAAGACCTCAGACCACTTTTCATCATAACTTTGGAGAATTGAAGAAAGATCATCTGTGCAGATGGCATCTATGAAGATCTGAGTCCATTTTAGGAAATACTTTTTCTCTGTTGGCGGCAATGATGAGAGACTTCCAGTGAACAACTCCATCAGTTTACTGCAGGAAGCAGCACATTGTTCCTGACGTATATTCATCAGTTCTTGTTGCTTTTGACTTTTCTCCATTTCAATGTTTCCTCTGAGATGAAACAGTTCTTTGTGTATTTTGCTCCACTGATGCCACAGTTGGCCTTGGCAAGGGAGAAATTCATCTTTGATCTTTGAGACATCCATGTTATCCTTTGTAAGCAGATTGATTATTTTCATAGCAGCAGATTTCCCTCTTTGACAGGCTGAGTCAGTTTCATCCACTCTGATTCCAGAGAGCTCAGCCATGGTTTCAAGCTGGAAGGATGGTTTCAAAATGGGACCATCAAGAGAAGTTAAAATTTCTCTAATGATGCTTTTCAGGTGTTCAGATACATCTGGCTGGTTTCGGTCTTTGAGGCCCATTATGTACTTTCCATTTTTTGTCTTAACAGCATCACAACTGTCATCAACAGTGAGACAAATGAGAGGCTTATGAGACTTAAAAACACAAGATATGAGTGCTCGACTTTCTTCATTGTTTTGCAGAGATGCCAAAAGAAAAACATTAATGGAGGATTTTTCAATAAGTATGTCACGCTGTTTTTCAGTCAATAGAGCGTCACCATGGAGATTACAAAAGGCAATGCAGTCATTGAAGGCATCATTGGGTTTTCCAGCAGGGCAGTACCAGGCAATCTCTGCCACACCATCCATCAAACAGCGAGACTTGGTGCTTCCTGGGCAGTTTCTGTGGAAGAAGGTGTCGTGACGGTTGTTGATCAAAGTGTTCATCAGCTGAGATTTAGACACTGACAAAGAACCCAGACGGAAAAATGACACCAAGGGCGTTTCAGCTTTGTAGACTGGAACACTCTTCATGGTGACGATCTTTGAATCACACCGAGTTAGCTTCCAGGTTTTTGTTATTTCTCTGAAAGTCCACAGAGGAAACTGAATCTTGTTTGTGACTGGGTCAGGAACAAGCAAAGGTAAGGCATACTGACACTGAGAGAGCTTTGTAATCATCATCTGTTTCAGGAAGCTGTCTGCGCAGTGGAATACTGCCATCTGAATGTCCATTGGATGCACAGAAGTCTGCTCTTTCTTATGTGTGTCCACACTGCTGCTCACAAAAACATCCCAGTCACTGGAGGAGGCTTTGAACGACACCTTGGTCTTACAGCTTGATCTTACAGAAATATATCTGGCCCTGTAGTCCAACATTATCAGCCTATGGAGAAAAGTGTGAGCTAGATCTTTCTCAGATTCTACATGGTCAATCTGTTTCACAGGTGGACGTATTTGAAGAAAATCTGCCGGTGACAACTTTTGTTGAATTTTGCCTTGAAGATGAAGTCTGTTAAGCAATGTCTCGGTTTCTATTTGACATGACTTGTTCTGGCTGTCTTCTTCCATCACTGGCTGTAATAAATAAGCAAATAAAAACACATCAAATGTTCAGAAATTACAGTGTCAAATAATAAGACTATTCTTAAATATTCTCTAAGCTCTTGTGACAAATATTTGGGCTTTCCTACCTTCTCTGTGTTTCCACTCATGTTCTCATCTGAGATGCCTGCAAAATAAAAATGAATCAGAAAGTGACATATACATGACCGGATTAAATCAACAGTATGATAAAATTAAAATCATCAATGCAACATCGAAACCGAACTATTGTTTAAGTAGTAACTGCTGCTGTTCCATAGGTGTAAATGCCCACATCTTTCTGAAATTATATTTAGTGCTTATTACTTTTGCTGCCGTGTGACACTACAGGCATGTATAAAAGTCAAAGATTGAATGTAACAGCCTGCTCTGTGGAAGAAACTGGGCATCAATAGGCTATGTAGGTTTCTGCAAAACATCTGGTGGCTTTCTACAATGCCTGAACTTACACCGTGAAATTCAGATGTTAATCTATGACCACTTTTGTTTGTTGTTAATATCACTATTTTTTACAAATATGCCAATATTTTTTGTGATATAATACAGGAGGGGCTTAAGAGGTGAAAACAGATGTGAACGTTCATTTTTTGATGCTGGAGAGCTGTATGTGCACACAGCTAACTACAGATAATGGTCAAGCCAACCTTCAAACTAAGCTTCAGGATTTACTGGGATTTTCCATCCAACACAGCCATCTCTAGGGTTTACACAGAATGGTTACCGGATAGAAAATGTTGAGTGAATAGCAGTTCTATCTGAGAAAATGCTTTGTTAATGCTAGAAGATGAATGAGAATGACTAGACTGCATCGAGCAGAAGGCAACAGTAAATAAAATAACCACTTGTTCCAATAAAAGTATGCAAAAAGAGCATCTGTGCGTGCACAATATAGACTTACTACAAATGGCCAATAGAAGAAAATTATTGATTGGTCTGATGTATCTCAATTTGTGCTGTGACATTTTTGGAGGAGGAGGAGGATGATCCAGCCATACACACATCACACAAACATCACATTGGGGAGACAGGTCAGAACAGGTACCATAAAGAAAAACAATTAAATGTACAACACAATAGGGTAGAGGAGGAGAAAAAAAGAGAGCTCTACTCAGACTGAGCTTCTGATAGGAGATCAGTATGAGACCAGAAAACAAAAACTCAAAAGCACATGAATCTTCACACCGTAACACCATGAAAACACATGACAAGCAACAGGGGGGAGTAGGGTTAGAGTAAACCAATGTAGACAGCAGCATCAGGTTGCAGCATTTCTGCGCGGGTCCAGCTGACCCACCGTCTGTATCGGATGGGGGGCAAACTTCAGATGCATTTGAAATGGGGGAGGGGAGCGAGTCTGCGTCTGTGTCAGTGTACATGAGTGTATGTGTGTGCGTGTGTGTGTATCCTGTGTTCAGCTTTAAGAGAGACTGTCCTTTCACCTGATTAAGCAAAAGTCAACAATCCTTCAGCTAATGCAGGTGTCCTTGAAGGATAGGATCAGAGAGACCAAACACAGTCCTGTTATCAGGGACAAGAATTTGTTGTTCCAGAGCCGCATGAGTGAGGAAGATGATTGTTTGGGTTAATGAAACAACTGCACGAATTTCGCAGTCATTCTTAATGTCCATCACTGGTCACCAGGTCTATCTATTTCCCGTTGCAAAGCCGTGAGCTTCTCCAAGATCTTCTCATACGGTGTTCAATAAACACAGTCTGAGTACTCACAGCTTGCCCATCGTCAATCATGTCAGCCAGCATAGTGGGGGCTTTGAACAGCTGTAACCGCTGTCTTCGATAAGCTAGGTCCGAGCCAGCTCCACTCAGCCAGAACTCTGTTGTCATGATTCTCAATGGTCGATGTCGTTCGACCATCGAACAATTTCCAGCACTATGTTGAATTCATGTCATAAATAATTAAGGCAGTTCTAAAGGCAAAGGCAGTCCAACCCAACACTAGCAAGGTGTACCTAATTAAGTGGTTAGTGAGTGTATATGAAAAAATACTTTTCACTACACAGCTTGTCCACTCAAAGCAAGTAGGCTCCTGGCTTGAACGTCTTGGTTGGCTGGGAGCTTTCTGTGTCAAAACAGATTTTGAACATACTTTTCAAGCTGTTCTGGGATTCCTTCCTGTGCCAGTCAGCCTGCCTAGTGATGCCCAGTTTCTTCCACAGAGCAGATACTGATTAAATTAAACCAGGTAATTTATTATGCTTGTCAACACTGGCTGTCTACAATTGTTTACACTCACTAGTTGGCGGCAAACGATGTGTTGCATGTTGTAGCTTCAATG